AGCTGCAGATACAAGTGTTTTAGTTCCGTCTGAAATTCTACCAGGATTCTAATTTCATTTTCTCAAGATTGCTTTAATCTGTTCTCTGTTTATCATCTCTGAGACTTGTTCAATGGGTTCAGCTAAACTATTTTAGTTTTTTTCTTCTTAAAAATAAAGATTTAAAGACATTTATTTGAATTTTGAAAAGGTAGGTCTTTTCTAGATTCCTCAGGGTGTGCCTATGCGGAAAAAAGGTATTCTGATTCCTTTCAGAATGCCCCTTGATTTAACTCTCCTTTCATTATTCTGAAACCTCCACCGCTCTCTCTCTCTCTCTGCATTTCCTGAAAGGGTTCTCTCTTGCTCTGTTTCTCCTCTGTTTTCAACCCAATTCTCAGTACCATATCGAATTTCATCAGTTGGGAATTCAAGAAATCAGAAATTCATCCAATTTGTCAATTATGCAAGCGTGAATTTGAGATCTTGAATTTGATATCATGAAGTTTGAAATGGAAATTCTATCGCCCTCATCCTATTTTTCAAGTTCAAATTGGCTTCTTGAAGAGAGCAAGAGCACGCAATGGACCCCGGCAGAGAACAAAATGTTCGAAAACGCCTTGGCGGTGCACGACAAGGACACGCCAGACCGGTGGATTAAGGTGGCAGCAATGATACCTGGGAAGACAGCAATGGATGTGATGAAGCAGTATGAGGAATTGGAAGTTGATGTTGGCAAAATAGAAGCAGGGCTGGTTCCAATTCCTGGCTATAGTGCCTCTCCATTCACATTGGAGTGGGTGAATAGACATGGCTATGATGGGTTCAAACAGTCTTATGGGCTTGGTGGTAAGAGATCTTCATCAGCTAGGCCTGCTGATCATGAAAGAAAGAAAGGTGTTCCATGGACTGAAGATGAACACAAGTAAGTTTCCCAGTGTAAATTTCAGAATGTAATGTTTATTTCACTTTAACATTTGAGCTGTTAAAGTAGAATTGGCTTGAAGTTAACATTTTAGATGATTTTTTCTTCACATCTAAGCCATATATGAAGTGTGAAAAAAACTTTGGGATTGCATATCAAAGCAAGCTCAGAACTCTAGCTTAGGTGTTTAAGTTTCTACTGAAAATTATCTTGATTCAGATTTGGTTACACTGGTTTTTATTTTTCAGCCATTCTTTTGACATAATAGTTTCATGATTGTGTATAGGCTGTTTCTACTGGGGCTGAAAAAGTATGGCAAAGGGGACTGGAGGAACATCTCACGCAACTTTGTGGTAACTCGAACACCGACTCAAGTGGCTAGTCATGCACAGAAGTACTTTATCAGGCAGCTTTCAGGGGGGAAGGATAAGCGAAGAGCCAGCATCCATGACATAACAACTGTCAATCTCAACGACATGAGAACTCCATCTCCGGACAATAAAAGGCCTCTCTCTCCTGAGCACTCATCTGTGCCTCAGCAGCCAAATTCTGCTGCCACTGCCAGGACTCCGTTTCAGTGGCATCACCAGCAAGGCGGTGGAGCAAACATGGCTTTCAATCAAGCACATAGAAATATGTTCATGCCCCATCCTTATGGGATTAGTTCATATGGACTTAAAATGCAGGGGCAAGATCTGCACAAAGTTGCTGCTAATAACTCTTACTATGGACCTCAAAATATGGTTTTTCAGATGCAATCCGCACCGCACTACCCGTACGGATGATCTAGCAGCTCTTCTCAATCCTCTGCAGCTTGATATGCCATTATGTTCTTTTAGTTCATTAGTAATAGCTTTATCTGAGCTTTTTTTCTTCTTCATGGTTTCTTGTAAATATGTCATTCAGAACTTTGAGTTAGCATAATAGTATCTGAGGGGAACAAGATCAAAGTATTTCTTGGAATTTCGAATACGTACGAAATATGAAACTGAGGTGAAGCATCTCAAAACCTAGTTGTACCCCCCACCCCACCCCTACGGATTTCATATTCTGTAATGATAAGGGAGTGGTGAATTATTGCAGAAGGCATCAAAGATGAACAGGAGCATGTATGAGAAATAATGGTTTTTACTTTTTAGAGTCTGGGTAAGGGTCTTGAAGCAAACACTTCCTCTAGCTCTAGTTAAGAATGGAATGCAGAAGGAGATAATGCATCAGATAGCAGATAACAGACATAAATAAAATTCCAAGGTCTAATGGCTAATGAAGGAAGAGGCATAATCAAGGACAAGCATTTTCAATCAAATGGTGAAAGAACAGTATGTCTTAGGCACCACCTGCATATTAATATTCAATGATGTTACAAGGGTCATGAATCTTTGTGATAAATATCAAACATTAATTATGATTAACTTAATAAGCATGGGATCTTCTGTACTTTATTTTTTATTTAATATGTGAATTTTAGTCAAATGACTATGACTTCTAATTTTGCCACTATGTTAATTAGAATAAGAGCAAAAATTAAAATGGTAGAAAATTCTGTGAGCATCCCATCCCATATTGCTATGTGTCTGTCTGCTTGGGATAATCCAAATCCTTACTATGGCTTGCAAAGGAACTACTAATGTAGTGGTTTGGAGTAATTGTTCCCCCGGGCAAGGTCTTGGGTTCAAGTCCAAGCATCTGTGTTGTGTGTGTGAGTTTAGACCCGTTGTTTTCCTTTAAAGTAAAAAACAATAATTGAAAGAAAGAAAAGGGTACTGGATGCTAGGTTTCAAATTAGCCAAGTCATAGAGCACTCAGCTTGGAATTTCATGGTAAGACTGCCTACTTTTAACTCTTTTAGACTGTCTCACTAAACTTTGATACCAAAATGGCCAAGTTGACTGGGAAAGACCTTGAAACTTCAAACCTAGAAAGATCAAATGCTGAGTCTTCTTGCACTAACTCAAAGCATCTTATGCTTCAATCACTTTTCTGGCTTGTTTGTATATATGAGATCCTCTTATAATTATAAACAAGATCCCCCCGCCCTACTAGCTACGAACAACGGTTAGTGATTTTATTGTAAATAAAATATACAAGAGACTAAGATTTAGATCAGATTACACTGCTAATGTATTTAATTTGTGGTTCATATTTTTCTGTAATTTGTTTTGTGTGACATTTCTCTCTCTCTCTCTCTCTCTCTCTCTCTCTCTCTCTCTTCCCTGGATTTGGTTTTTGAGCATGGTGATTTTCTGATTCTAAAGTGTACGGCCCCTACCAACTAAATACAATGTTAAAGATTTCATTGTTCTCTAACAAATCTAGACTAAACTTGTGATGCCCGATCTTGGAGACAAATTAAGTAGCTTTTTATTAGCAGAAAGACCTGTTTACCCTTTTCTTAGTCTTTATAATTTCATATTTCTACATGGGCTTTGAGATTCTCTTTTGGGTGGGAACATCATTGACTTATTTTCCTCTCCTTCCTTCTTTTATTTATTTGGAAGAAGAATCTTCCTCCTAATTAAGTGCTACTTTGATCTAGTGATTAGTGATTTGCCGTCAAGTAAGACAAGTTAACAATTATTACCTACTGTTTAGCTCCATAAAGCTAAATGACGTTAATTAGGTAGGTGATTGATGCAAATTTACAACCCAATACACACTCCCACTGTAGTCACTTTTGGTTTTGCGTGTCTCTTTGCAACAAGTTTTTTGTTTTGGAATTAATTGCAGCGTTGAACCAAAAAGAAAAACTTGTTAGGTGATGTTGCTTACTCCACCCTTATAAACCCTAGATTGGATTCATTCCTATCCGATATAGGGTTCCTGTCTGCGACGTTCTACCCTACTCGAACATGCCCTAAAATTTAAACCCTAATGAGCTAGGCATTTGCCACTCAACCCAAAAGACTAGTAAGGTAAGTGATGGATGGTGATGAATTACTATTCACTAGTAATCCTAGTGTAATATACAAGACATTCTATCTCTTAAACTCTCTCCACAATTCACCTCTCTTCAATTAAAACAAAAGGAAAAAAGAAAACATTATAGAAGGAATCTCACTATTTCAGAGCACACTTGTTAAACAAAATGACAAACAATGAACACAGTGCTTAAGTTGTACTGTACTGTTTTCATTTTGATCCATTTCCACCCTTTTCTCTGTTTATGTTTTAACTTATTTGTTACCTAGTTTCTTTTGTTTTTTTAATTTTCTTCATGAAAAGCCAAGTAACCACGCAGGTCAATGGGACAGTACTGTTTTCTACAGTCCCGCCCATTATGTAAAGAATCCAGACCTACATGGGCAACACTGTCATTACAATTGTGTTTTGCACAGTAAATGACAAAACTAATCACCATATTTTTCCAAAGCCTTTCTGCAACTTGGACAAGAAAGCACCCTACACTTTATTCCTAGGCTAGTTTGATTAACACCTAAAAAACTAATTGTAACCACATACATAGTATCATCACTATCACAATTTCTACTTTCGGCCATATCTTGTTTTCTCTCTATTTTTCTCAACTATATTCTGATTCTTCTCTGTCAAAATGCTATTAGCTACATGCACTTAAGAGCTGTATGTATATATGTATATGTATATATAATTATTCATGTTTAGATCAAAAGAAAGATGAGAGGAAGTTCAGTAGGGGTCTATGTGTAGAAGTGCTTCAGTGGCCCATGGAGATCTGAGAATAATCTGTTGTGGGGACCTATTCTACATATCACAGAAAAGAATATATGGAAGGTCGGAAAGCAGAAGATGCATCATATCTGAATAACATTAGTTAATGCAAGCTTAATGATCTCGTTAAGTCTTCTGTGGACAAGAAAAAAGGGTATAACAGATAAGACATACCATTGTCAATAGTATCAGTTGGGATCTGAAGCTTTTGCTGGGAATATGAGATTGAAAATTCTTGTCCTCCTGCTATCTCTTTATTGACCTGAGACCGAATTGCAAGTTGACATTGTACATTGATTTTATCATATCCATTATCAACAAGCATGCTTTACATATACAACTGAGTTCATGGCTGAATTGATTATCCTTATTCACGAAACTATAGTTCGTCTTAAAGATGGAAATCACATTTGGATCCTTCATGCCAGCTGACAATAATGACTAGGAAACAGCAGCACGGGGGAACAAGGTAACGTAAGACAAGAATAGGGTGAATTCATACATTCAATTAAGTACAAACACATTTGACACCAAGGGGCAATTCATTCATGAACTGCCATTCTGCTTGAACAGGTTCAAGAAGCTCAGTCTACTCAGGATTTCAGAACGGCCTTAGTCTCAAATGTTTTTACTGTAAGGATTTTCCCTTATTGCAAGTCAACCCATAGCCAAGAGGATATAAAGGGTCATACGAGTTGTCTAGAGCATTCATCGGCAGCTGTTCAACCCTTTTAAACCATGACACTGGTAATAGGCCCTCGAAGTCATAATCTCCAAAGATCACATCTGCTATTCCCTCTCCTTCACTACCAGGCAACCAAGCAGCAACAAGAGCATCCATTTTTTCCAAGAGCCAAGGCTCTAAAGTTAAGGGTCTTCCAGATATCAGAATCACCAATGTGGGGAGTCTATCAGCAACTGAGCTTATCACATCAGTTCCATTGAAGGGGATGGCAAGCTCCAAATTGTCACCTCTGAATTCTGCATATGGTCCTTCACCAACAGCTACAATTGCAAAAGAGATATCTTCACGTGCTAAGGTGTCTGCTGATGGATATTGCTCATAAATGATTTCTGTGTCATCTCCAACTGCCTTCTTGATAGCTTCCAAGATGGTTGTGCCTTAAAAATGTAAATTTCTAAATAGTTAAGTGTGCCTGTGCAATCACAGCGATCTTAAAAGGTAAAACCATGGAAATTTATGGTCTACGAACCCCTTGTTCTCTACAAAATTTCAATGTAAGATTTAACAATGTTGTTGAAAAACAACAGCATCTAACTAGGAAGCAAAGTTTCCTAGTTAGATTATTTTTTTCCCCGAAGAAAACCTTCGGGTGAATGATTTAACTACACATTGCTAGATTCCCAAGAAGAGAGAATTTTCACAACCTCTTATTTGTGACAGTTCTTTAAAAAGCAGATTTTGGTTCAATAACCTGAATCAGGAAACTTATTGGAAACTATGTATACAGAAGCCTATGGACTTTGTCTTATGAAGTCATACATAATGTCACATTGATTAATACTATCATGCATACCCATTTCTAGTATTAAAATCCTGGGAAAATAACAAAGTTCCATACCAATTGTGATCCTGCCACTGCGACCATCCCAAGTAGCTGTCCACCCTCCACACTGATATCCGAGATCATCAGCATGTGTTCCAGCAACAAGTATTCTTTTAGCTTTTCTGTCTAATGGAAGAAAAGGTTTCCTTGAATCCTTTCCATTCTTCAAAAGAACCAAGGACTTGCGAACCGCTTCGCGTGCTAGATCTCTATGAAGCTGTACAATAGTAATAACAGTAAAAACTGTATCTCAGGTATTAAATTGACCGGGACAGTTTTTGTATAACAGTTGGTACATTTAAAGCATAGAAAGTCCACCATGCCTCAAAATAGGGGTAATATTCTTAAAACAGAATATGCTCGACAAGCAACCTTCTAATGGTAATATGCAAAGCATGCGTTCTTGAATGAGGTGAATGTAAGACATGCTGGCTCTGCAAACTTACCTTGCAACCAACCATGTCCAGCAAAGATCTATCAGAGAAGGGATGCTCAAAAAGACCGGAAACAAACTTCACTCTTAGAATTCTTTCAACAGCATCATCTATCCTGGACATTGATATGTTCCCATGTTCAACCAGATATACCAAATCCTTCACAAATTGTTCATATCTGAAAGGCACCATCACCTGCATACCTCGTCTTGTAAATTAGACAAACAATTAAAAATCAAGGATATCAATAAATAACTCAGGCTTTTAAACTTGGAGTTCAATATACCATGTCAATTCCTGCATTAACGGCAGATGAAATGCAGAAACGATAATCTGCACCTCGAGGTTTGCAAAGTTGGTCAAGTGCTTCCCAGTCAGAAATCACAAAACCCTACAGCAGAGTAAACCCTGTTAATTTTATTCCGATATACAGCAACTACATTCAAATAAACCAACAAAATATATGAAAGTCACATCTAACTCCAATAATACTGTGCCTCTGTTAAGTAATTTGAATTTCACTATATCATTCTAATGTTAGCAAAGGCGCGTCAAGTGAAGTAGGAAGCATATCAAGAGACCAGAAAGCCATCAATAATCAATCAAAATGGCAATGTTTATTGAATCTATGCCAATAAAATTGTACTTTGAGTGGAAATAGAACCAAGTCAATAATAGGCTAACAGATGTACTTTCTTGTACTTGCGCTTTACCTAATAGGGCAATGGATAGGTATGTAGGGGTAGGTCTTGGGTTCATCTTGCTCACCAAGAAAAAACAAACTCATTATCTGCGTTTTTTACCTTAAAACCTAGCTTATCTTTCAAGATTTCCGTCAGGAGAAAGCGGTCAGCATGCAGTTTACTTCCATTCCAGCTGGAATAGGATGCCATAACAGTGGAAACTCCATCAGAAATACAGTTCAGATATGGTGCCATATGAATCCTCTCTAAGTCATCATAAGATGATATGGTATTCCCCTCATTAAGACCTTTATGTGTACCCCCATCTCCAACAAAATGCTTGGCACATGCAATAGTGTTGTTTCTGGAATTTTAAAAAAAAAAATGGAACTTCAGAAATAATTTCTAATCTGTACGAGAAAGTTACAGTGACTTAGTATTGGAACACAAGATCAAGGTATGAATATGTTAGCAGGAAAGATGAAAATTTGAGTACAGAAGCTGACCACTTGACTGATATAATATAATTATCAAAGAATTGGAAAATATGAAAGTTTCATGACAAAATTTTAGATACAACGTGTATACGTAGAAAAAGGAGGACAAGTTTTCTGGAAAAAGTCTCATCGGTGTCTAAGTGAATCTCCAGAAAATATTCTTTTTCCTTTGTTTTTCCTTCTCATTAACATAAAATAGTATTTGAAAAGGACAGTTCAATTTTCTCTGTAACAATGATGCTTAAAGATGAAATATGATTGACCAAAGAAGTATACCCAGAAATTTATCAACTAACAACTCCTACATACCTTCCCAGTACGAAAGGGTAGCCCTTTGGATGCCCTTGGGGTGGCTGCCCCTGCAAGCCTGTAACAATAGATGTCATCTTTCTGACAATTTCAGTGTCTTCACTGTAACTTTCATAGCATCTTCCCCATCTGGGATCTCTGCACACCTGTCAGAACCCATTCAAGTGAATTGCTTGACTAATCCATCCAAAAAAGATTATACTGGCGATATGATCATCCACATAAGTTGCACAGCTATTGCAACAACACACATGCATCTTTTCCCGCAAAAGATACAAATTTTAGAATGTTCATGCAATCTGATGAGCTGTATAGAAATTGCAATTGATTACATCCATAATGACTTACAGCCACACAGGGAGCAAAAGTATAGTGAATGCCACTAGCCCTGACTTCAAGAGCAGTTGAAGCACCAATCCTTTTAACCAAATCCGCATCTCTGTCAGAGTCAGAAAGTTAGAGGACTAACAAGACTAAATCTCCCTCTCTTTTGTTTCACCAACAACCGGAAAGATGTAAAGTAATTCTAGAAAGGGTTAATGAGACATTGCATTTTAAGTCTATAATTCAGCAATTTAACTCCACTTTTTTCTTCTTTGTTTCTGTTTTCCTTCTTCATATCATTCAGTTTTAACTCAATGCCAAAACAAATTAAAAGATTATAAATTAAAAATATAAGACAAAATTGGTCTTCCAGAAAATATGAAATCTTGATCCATTGTTCTTGTCATTCAGTTTCCAGTAATTAACATATTCAGTTTCCAGTAATTAACATACTTGCATCCTTTGAGTCATGAGTATGGACTCCAAACATAAATTTCAATTCTTTTCCAACATTTTCTTAGGAACCAAACAAAGCGCCCACAACAACCAGTAAAGAAATGGATCATTCACAAGTATAAAGTAAAAAACATCAAGGGAAGGAACAGAGTGAAGAAAGCTAACCTGGTGGCCCCAAGACCAACATTGTGAGGAAATATAGTGGCGCCATACACACTGTTGTTCCCATGAACCGCATCAATCCCATATATCAGTGGTATTCCGAGCCGTGACTCAAGAGCTGATCTCTGAAACCCATCGATCATATCGGCCCAGTCCGACGACAAGGCCTTCTCAAAGGGCACACTGCCTCCAGCACTGAGTATACTCCCTGCCATATGGAAATACAGATATTGTCCTTCAAGTATTTGATAAAATACGTGAAAGGAACTTAAAGACATGCATAGAAAACAGATGGGTACCGATGGAGAAGTCTCTAATGGCATCTGGGGTGGAGACCCGGCGCTCGATTTGTGTCATCTGGCCCACCTTCTCTTTTAAAGTCATGCGAGAAAGAAGGTCTTTGACTCGAGCTTCAATGGGTTCATTGGGGTTTCTGTATATGCAATTAAAGTCGTTTACTTTGTCCATCTTGAGCTAAGTTAATGTCTTCTTCCTCTTCTTCTTCTGAGCTTCAGTTGGACAACCCAGGTATATATAGAACTGAAGTGTTCTAACTTTTAGTTAATTTGACGAGTGGTAGATTGTAGAGTTGCATTGCAGTAAATTTACTACAGTACTATATTACTGCCTACCTATTTGAATATGTATGGGGACCCTTTCACTTTCAATTTCTGGAGGATGCCACCAACTTTCCTGCTTTGTTTAAATAATCAGAGGTCAAAACTAACTTTCTTCTGCTTGTGTTGTGGGTGCTGCGTACTATACTACGCTTAATTGGTCAATTGTTTGCTAACTAATTTCAAGGCTAATAGAGCAGTTATTAAGCTTGTTCTCTAACTTTAAGCACCAATCTTTGCATGTATGGTTTGGAAGAGGGGCCTAGTTGTTGGCTTACTTTATCCTTCAGTCTGATGTAAATGACAATTTTTTTTTTTTTACGGTTATATAAAGTGCTTGCCAGAGGGCTTCCAAACAGAAAAATATAATAATAATTTCAAGGGTAATTTGGGCATCTTCTGTTCATCCCAGATAGATTAGAGAGTACACTGATCTCAACAGGAAAAAATGAGACTGAAAAAAAGGGATTTTGTTTTACTATGCATAATTCTTTCATTTGTGATCAGAATTTAGACCCTTTTTTTTCTTTCTTGGAGTCATAGATAAGCAACATAGATAAACTTTAAGAATTATTTTGGATCATGATTTGATTCAGTTGAGTTGAATACCTTCAATTATATATTCAGCCTTCATAGCTATATGATTTAGATGAGATAGAAGAGATATACATCATAGATTGACAAAGTAGATATCCACATTCAATTCACAAGAAAAGGGGAAAGACAATAGAAATTTGACATGTTACAGATATTATAAACATTTAAATAGTCCTGCTCTACTCTTCTGGAAACCCAAATGAATCTGGTAAACAGTTGTTGAAGCATCATATTCTGTATCCTTCTACAGCAGTTGCACAGATGATTTTACTATTTTTACCGTTCAGCTTTACCGATTAACAGCCTGTTCATATTTCACTGAAGTTTTAGATTCACATTCTACATCTTCGATGGCTTCCAAGTTGCCTCTGGCATCAGCTGGCTTTGATGAAGTCCACCTTTACCACCTTCTATACACTAACTTCTTCTAGTCTTCCTCGCACTGACTACTTGATCACCAACTTCATTTAAAACTTCAAGCCTCTTTTTTGGAGAATCTTCTTGTTCCTGTTCAGTTTAACAAAAGCTTGCATTTATTAGTCCCAATTATCTCCTTGTTGGAAAATTATGACTATTTTCTATTTTTGTTTCTGTCTTTTGCCTCTATGCAAACATAAAGCATATGATATAGGTTTCCTCCAGTTGTTCGGAAAGAGAATGAAAAATAATGTTGTGAAATGTTAGGTTATATATTGTGTTTACTTTCTGCTGGTTTTCTACAGATAAAAGAATGTGATATTCATCCAAAAGTAAAAATGCAAGCTATATATTTTGTTTACCTTGGTTCCTTTTCGTGATACATTTTCAGTATCTTCCATAGAGTCTTTGTTAAGTTTTGATTTCTTCAACTGGTTTTTTCAACTCTACAGCAGCCTCTGTTGTTTTTTCCAATTCTGGAGCAGCCTCTGTTGCTTTTTGTGATATACTTCCACTGTTTTCATCTGCAGAAACTTGGGTTGCTTTTTGTGAAACACTTCCAATTTCTGCAGTTGGGTTTTTCAGTTCTGCAGCAGTCTTTGTTGCTTTTTCTAGTAAGTTTTCAACTTTTTCATCTGTTTTTTTTAATTTTGCACCAGCCTCTATTGCTTTTTCTGATACCTTTCCTATTTCTTCAGCTGGCCTTTTCAATTCTGCAGGAGTCTGTGTTACTTTCTGTGATACACTTCCAATTTCTTCAGATGGTTTTTTAAATTCTATAGGAGCCTCCGTTGCTTTTTGTGATACACCTCCAATTTCTTCAATTGGTTTTTTCAATTCTGCAGCAGTATCCGTTGTTTGTTCTGAAGTACTTCCAACTTCTGGTTTTTCCAACCCTGCAATTGCCTCTGTTGTCTTTCCCCAGACATTTGCAATATTTTCAGCTGGTTGTTTTGATTCTCCAGCAGGCTCTGACGCTTTTTGTGATAGATTTCCAATATCTTTAGCTGGTTTTATAACTTCTGGGCTAGCCTTTGTTACTTCTTGTGATACGTTTCCTATTTCTTCAATTGGCTTTTTTGATTCTACAAGAACCTCTGTTGCTTTTTGTGATCCACTTTCAATTTCTTCCGATGCTTTTTTCAATTCTGCATGAGCCTCTGTTGCTTTTTCTGATGCACTCCCAATTTTTTCAATCGGTTTTTCCAACTCTGCAGGACCCTTTCTTACTTTTTGTGAAACATTTCCCATTTCTTCTGTTGGTTTTTTCAACTCCGCAGTAGCCTCTATTGCTTTTCCTGATAAATTTTCTGTTTTTTCACCTTGTTTTAAAGATTCTGCAGCAGTCTCTGATGCTTTTTGTGATACATTTCCTATTTCTTCATCTGGTTTTTTCACTTCTGCAGGAGCATCCCTTGCTCTTTGTGGTACACTTCCAATTTCTTCAGATGGATTTTTCAACTGTACGGGAGCCTCATTTGCGTTTTGTGATGTACTTCCAATTTCTTCAGGTGGCCTTTTTAGTTCTGCAGGAGCCTCTGTCGCTTTTCGTGATAAACTTCCAACTTCTTCAGCAGGCTTTTTCAACTCTGCAGTAGCCACTGTTTCTTTTGTTGATACAATTCCAATTTCATCGCTCAATTTTTTCAATTCTGAAGCAGCTTCTGTTGTGTTTTGCAATACATTTCCTATTTGTTCAGCTGGGTTTTTCAAATCTGAAGTAGAATATGTTGCTTTCTGTGATGCATTTCCAATATCTTCAGCTGGTTTTTTAAATTCTGTAGCATCCCCTGTTTGCTTTTCTGATGCATTTCTAATTTCCTCAGCTGGTTTATTCAATTCTGCATCAATCTTTGAAGCTTTTTGAGATACATTTTCATTTTCGTCAGCTGGTTTTTTTAATTGTGCAGCAGCCTCTGTTTCCCTTTGGGATACACTCCCAACTCCTTCAGCTGATTGTTTTAATTCTACTGTGGGATCTGTTGCCTTGTGTGATACATTTGCTATTGCCTCAGCTGGTTTCTTCAATTCTGCATCAGACTCTGTAGCTTTTTGTGATACATCTTCAATTTCTTCAGCTGGTTTTTTAAATTGTGCAGCAGCCTCCGTTGCTTTGTTTGATCTACTCACACTTTCTTCAGCTGGTTTTTTTAATTCTACTGTAGTTGCCTTTTGCGATACATTTGCGATTTCTTCAGATGTTTTTTTCAATTCTGCAGCAGCTTCTGTTGCCTTTTGTGATACATTTATAATTCCTTCAGCTGGTACTTTAATCTCTGAAACTACTTCGTTTGCATTTTGTGAAGAACTGCAAATTTCTTCAGCTGATTTTTTCATATCTAAAGTAGCCTCTGTTGCTTTCTGTGACATATTTCCTGTTTCTTCAGCTGGTTTTTGGAGTTCAGCAGCAGCTTCTGTTGCTTTTCGTGAAACCTTTTCAATTTCATCAGCTTGTTTTTTTAATACTGAAGCAGCTTCTGTTGCTTTTTGTGATAAATTCCCAATATCTTCAGCTTGTTTATTCAATATGATGTTGATTTCCTCAGTGGACTTCTCTGGAGGCTTACCTGGTTCCTGTTCAATATTAGATGTAAGCATGAGTCCAACCAGTATAATTTAATTAGGATTTTGATCCCACCCATCATGAGATCATGTTACCAGAGAAATAACAAATCATATAATTTGATCAAAAGCATGTACCACTGGTTTTCTTTCAATCTAATAATGTATCGTTAGTTGCTTTAGAGTCAAACCTGTGATGTTTTAGAATCACTTGTATTGGATTGCTGATTTGTTGGTTTCTCCACAGAATGCATTACATTTTGAGGTGCCAACAGTATACTGTCATGCGGCTTCTCTTCTGATGAATTACTTTTCACCTTGTCTCCCACCTCAGATTTTGAGGCACCCTCAGGGTTAGAAATTGACGAGGACACTTGGTCCTTTGGGATATGTTCTAGCAACACTGACGTAGGAGATGACGATGAAGTCGAATTAACAGGAACATCTTTGCTCACCAAATTTTTCTGTGGAGCTGATGCAATGGGATCACCAGATATCTGCTTTACCTCAGAAACTCCCCTTTGTGCAGTACCTTGCTCATCTTTATTGCCTTGAATTGGGATCAAGTCCTTTTTAGCATCAAGTTCTTTTTTGCCCTCATTTTCAGTTACCTTTTGAAGACCTCCCTCACTATGATTTGAATTCTCATTGTCCTTCGTTGGTTGTTTACTGTCCAAGGTGGCTTGACGTTCAGCAGGATTTACAGAACTTTTCTCCAAATGCCTGTTAGATTCTGAAATAGTCCCCTCATTTGGTTTTGATAGCTCTCCCACAGACTCTTTCTTAGTCGATATCTGGGCTCCACCGTCTCTGTCTGTATTTTTCTTCTCATCTTTCGAGTTATCAATTGTGTTGGCTGCCGGAGCATTCACCTTCTTTGTAGTCTCACCAGGAGGATTAGACGATTCCTGTTTAATATCCGAAAAGATCAGAGAGAGAGAGAGAGAGAGAGAGGAAGATGTATTAGCATGTCAAAGATTAATAGACTGTCTTTTAGGAAAAAAGGATAGTTGTTCCATTACAATAAGATTTATATAAATTAGTGGAAATTTGGACTGCTCAAAACTTGGACTAACCTCTGGATTTTCAGAAGGATGAGCCACCAACTTATCTGTCAACTTCATTGTTTCCTCTTGATTTTTGGGCGAAAGTGCATTCAATGAGCTAGAAGTCCTTGGGTTCCCAACTTCTTCCGCTACTTGCCTGACATCATCATGGATCTTTCCATCAGAATTCACCGAATGGACTTGACTGTCTCCATAAATTTCTGTCATTGAAGATGACAATGAACACGCATCATCTAGTTCTTCTGGCTGTTGCAAAGGCATGGATGACTCAGCAACACCCTTGGTGTTCTTATTGTTTCCTGAAGATCTTATGTCTGCAAGGTCCTTCTCACTTAGTCCCCGTACTCCCCTCGATTTTGATTCATTTTCTTCTGTTCTGGATGATTGAGATGAGGCTGCCCACATATACTCTCTTTCAAAGTCCCCATCTAAGTTCAATGATTCTCTATCCGTGGGTGAATTGGCCCCGTCAATGGTCAGTGGAGGTGAACCAAGCTCTGAGACCTCCACCTGCAGGTCAGAAGCTATAGAGTATGTAGGAGTATGACAAGTGCCCCTTTCTGCATAAAACAAACGTTCTTCAAATCTGCTCCTTTCATTTGCAGACGGGCTAGACTCATATAAAGCTTCCTTCACAGTTTTGCTCTTAGGGACTGAACAAGTTAAAGGTTTTGGTGGAACATGTCTCACTTTCGATAATGCATTTTGAGGGGGTGGTCCAGATGTACTAGCATTAAATGTGTGGTCATCTTCTTCAGAATATGATGTTGAGCTTGACTCATCATCGTTGCTGTCATCTGTTATTTGTTGCTCCATCTGACCTTCACTTATATTTTCTATCTTCATCTCTCCTTTGATATCGATCGCACTTTGAGTTTCTCCGCTGCTTCCATCTTTGGGTTTCACTGAGCCTGTTGCCTGAACGGAGGAGGATTCAATTCCATTCTTAGTAATATCAGGGTTGCTGTCAATCTCAGATCTGTCACGTACTTTTGACAACAGAGCTTCAATAACATCATCATGCTTACCCGACAGCATTCTTTCGATATGCTTATCGTGAGATCCCGTCTCTGCATGGGGCAAAAGAAACATGCATGGATGCATGCAGTTAAGAATCATAAGTCACTACAATTTTCTTTTCAGCTTCTGAAGAAAGTAAGAACTACAAGCAAGTAACAAAAACCTGATTGCTTCTTAAATCTGGAGAACCCCTTTACATCCATTGCTTTCTTCCTGGTTTCTAATGGGAAAGAAGAAGCCCCCAAAGAGAAGCTCTCATGCCTGCAAAATAGCATATCCTTTTGCTGAACTGCTGTGAATTCTTGTTGGAAACTATCAGCCATAAGGTTCGGCTTCTCTTCAAGTGGATCATATGGAAGATCAAATGGATTTTGCATAGGTAACAAAATGGAAGGCGCTGAACCAGGTGTGTCCATCTCATTACAGCCTTTCACGAATTCGAAAGGGTTGTTTTTCGCAATAAAAATGGGAGCAATTTGACCTGGTATTATAGTGTCCAAGTCAATTAGACCTTTCTCAACCTGGATTTTGAATAACTTTCTTGCTCTTCTTCTGGCAATTAAACTTTCCAGCCTTTTATTTCTTTCAATCTCGGAAAATCCAAGATCCATAAGATTTTTTTGATCATCATCTGTCCACTGCACAGCCTTATTCCCATCCTCTTGTGCTGTTCCTCCATCAATCCCGCCACCTTCGGATTTTTCAGTCTGTCCATCTGAGTCATCAGACGACAAGAGATGAGAATCTGAAAGGTCAGAATCTAGGACAGATTGGTGCTGCTCAACAAGAAGTTGAATATTGTCAGTAGATGGTGCTTTAGCAGTGGAGCCCTCTCCATGACAGGAAGTTTTATTCTCTTTCTCCTCCATGACTGCCTTGGTGTTTTTGCCGACCAAGGCAGTTCCACTGATCAAATTATCTTTCCAAGTTGTCGATATGGGCGCGTCTTTTTCCACCTTGCCAGCTTGTGCACCCCCTTCTTCTGTGCACCTTCTTGCAACATTTGTTCGTCTACTTTTCTGTTTTGTTAAGACGGAGCACCCATCTCGATTAACATCAACATCATCTTGAACAGATTCAGATTTTTTACCTGAAATTCTATCATTAATCCGTTTCTCATCCCGTTTGACCTCTAGGATTGTGAGTCCTCCAGAAGTCCAAAAAACTCTAAGCAAAGCAGCAATGCAGACCAGAAATGGAAACCAGAAGACAAAAAGATTGAAAAATACATAAAGGAAGTAGATGAAAAACAATATGGCTGAAACAAATGGATGCTTCTGTACACATAAGCTACTAGTCTTCATGGAAAAATGAAGAACTCTCCACACACAAACTAGTATAGCCTCTGCACCAACAGCCATATCTATCTCTCTGAACAATCTAAAGAAAAAATAGAACCAAAACAAACTAGGTGAATATTTGTCTGTAAACCTACAACATATACATTCAAACCTAGCACAATTAAGGCAGTGGTACTAGGAATTGAGAAATGCGGAAACAAAAGGCAACCCGCATTTTAATATTGGACGAAAATCGGGTTTTGTTCAAGAAAAAAAGATTCAGCACTGGGGATGGATGATATTTTTGACAGAAAACCATAAGAAATGCGAGGCACAAAGAGCAAACATAGCTCTCTCTCTCTCTCTCTCTCTCTCTCTCTCTCTCTCTCACTCTCTCTCTCTCTCTCTCTCTCTCTCTCTCTCTCTCTCTCTCTCTCTCTCTCTCTCTCTCTCTCTCTCTCTCTCTCTCTCTCTCTCTCTCTCTCTCTCTCTCTCTCTCTCTCTCTCTCTCTCTCTCTCTCTCTCTCTCTCTCTCTCTCTCTCTCTCTCTCTCTCTCTCTCTCTCTCTCTCTCTCTCTCTCTCTCTCTCTCTCTCTCTCTCTCTCTCTCTCTCTCTCTCTCTCTCTCTCTCTCTCTCTCTCTCTCTCTCTCTCTCTCTCTCTCTCTCTCTCTCTCTCTCTCTCTCTCTCTCTCTCTCTCTCTCTCTCTCTCTCTCTCTCTCTCTCTCTCTCTCTCTCTCTCTCTCTCTCTCTCTCTCTCTCTCTCTCTCTCTCTCTCTCTCTCTCTCTCTCTCTCTCTCTCTCTCTCTCTCTCTCTCTCTCTCTCTCTCTCTCTCTCAAACAAAGGAAGGGTCAAATTTTGCCTACAAAACAAAGAAGTATCACAAATTTTTTCTTTGTTCCCTAACTACGCATTTGGGGTTTTTTCCAATTTTAGCAGCTTAATTTTTTGCTTGGCTCCTGGCTTTGTAAGATCCTTTATTTCAGGACTTTTCACCTTTCTAAATTTTTCTCCTTCAGCCTCCATCACTCAAACCACAATAAGACAAAATAAGAAACAGGTATTTGAAGAAGTGGCGGTTGTGATTGACTTGCGCATCACTCAAGTCAAGGCCCAATCCATTTCTACTATCCCAGCCCACCACCCAGCAAGCGGCTCGTGGCACGGCCCAAAACCCGAAAAATATTGGTGTCGTTTTACGACACGTGCTGCGGTAAACGACCTCAGAGCACATACTATCCTCTCACGCGACACACAGAACCCCAGCCCATTATGGGGGAAAAACGTTGGATAACGATAACAGGCTCAGAAATTAAAATAGGACGGGGAGAGAAAGTTGACGGTTAGGATCTCCAACGCCTTCTTCATCCGACGGCTCAAATTCCAAATTGATCTCCTTCTTTTATGTACTCTGTTTTTTTCTCTCTCTTCTGTGTCCCGAAGTTCCAACCTTTGCCTTAGCGGTTAATGGTCATAGGCTTCAAGCAACCACCATAGACGAAACTGAAATCTATTTCTGTATTGGAAGGGCGCATACGAACATGTATATATAAATTTACGAAATTTTGAATTGCGAATTTGGATTTTTTAGGGTTTTGGGATGTCGTCGGTCGAGTATTTACGTCCAACAATCCACAGTAGGTTCTGCTTAAATTCGAATTCTAATGCTTATCACTGCCGCCATGGATTGGGCTTCGTTCATGGTCAAGCTAGGGTTTTCAACCAGGAAGCGAGACGGGTTGTTTCGAATACGGCGGCGTCCAAGTCAGTCGCGTTGTACGGACAGGGCAGAGCTGTGAGAGTTTCGGAGAGGTTCAGTCTCTGGAACAGCCATGGAGGGTTCAGGACGGTTAGGGTTTTGGCGAGTGGTCAGGACAACGATTCAGGGGAGAAGAGCGAGGCGAAGGCGAGCGAGGGCCAAGGGGTGAACAACAACAAGCCCAATTCGAGCTCGCCGGCTTCTAATCGGCGGAGAGAGAGCCAAAAGAAAGCGAATTGGTGGTGGTCCAAAGGAGGGAAATGGCGGTGGCAGCCCATAGTTCAAGCCCAAGAGATTGGAATCTTGCTCTTGCAATTGGGTATTGTGATTTTCGTTATGCGGTTGCTCAGACCTGGAATTCCATTACCAGGGTCGGAGCCAAGGACTCCGACGACGTTTATTAGCGTGCCGTACAGTGATTTTTTGAGTAAGATTAATAGTAACCAGGTGCAGAAGGTTGAGGTTGATGGGGTTCATGTTATGTTCAAGTTGAAGTCTGAGCAGGGTGAGCAAGAAAGTGAAGTGAGTGCTGGGGTTAGTAAGTTTCAAGATTCGGAGGCTTTGATAAGAAGTGTGGCTCCGACGAAGAGGGTGGTTTACACGACGACAAGGCCAAGTGATATAAAGGCGCCGTATGAGAAGATGCTTGAGAATGAGGTGGAGTTCGGGTCGCCCGATAAGCGGACAGGTGGATTCTTGAACTCCGCAATGGTAAGTTTTTGGTTGTTTGATATTATTTGGTTATCCTGCTGAAAAAGTTATTATGACCACAAAAAAAAAAGCTATAGAACTCTTAATATTTGACCTTACAGAGCAACTCTTGTGAACTTACAAGTTGGTTAGTTACAAATTAATGAACTCAGTAACCAGCATGAATGGTTATGATTGAAGGTTCAAAATTAATTATATTGGATTCTGTATATGTAGAAGGCCTGAATATGAATATTATGTTGATCCCAGGGTACGAATTTTTCACTAACATGTGAACCCATATTCCCTTGTATCTTAACATATATTTGTTATCCAAAAGAAGTTTCCTTTGTTATTCACGGTGTGTATTGAGACAAATGTTTATGATATTTCATGGAAGGAATTTCTAATCTATTGACTTTGGCTCTGGTCCCTGCAGATAGCTTTGTTTTACGTTGCTGTGCTTGCAGGGCTTCTGCACCGGTTCCCTGTAAGCTTTTCTCAGGTGTGAGCCAGTGGTGCTTGTTTCTTTCAACTCTGTCTCCGTTTTTCTTTTTGGTGCTTTGAAACTTGTGCTACCTGGTTCTCAGTGAATACATGCTTGTGTACAGCACACAGCTGGTCAGATTAGGAACCGAAAATCTGGAGGCTCTGGCAGTGCTAAAGCATCTGAACAAGGGGAAACAATAACCTTTGCTGATGTTGCTGGTGTTGATGAGGCTAAAGAGGAGCTAGAAGAAATTGTGGTATGTTGGACACCCCTCAGTTTACTTTGATATAACTATTGAATCATCAGAGTCTTCTAGAGGATCCTAAAGACTTTCTAGTGTTTCCTAGAAAAGTTCTTTTATTTATTTTCTTGAAAAAAAATGTTTGCCTTGATGTTTACTGACCAGGAATTTCTTCGGAATCCAGACAAGTATGTACGACTTGGTGCTCGTCCTCCACGAGGAGTTCTCTTGGTGAGTTTTAGCAAAAACTAAGAATGAATGTGACCTCATAAACCAGAGAGTGGGTAGTCATAATGGCCTTTATTCAAATCTTTACATATATGGTTACCTTGATAGGCCAACTATGCTAGGTCTGTTTCTTGGAGATTTCCCATGCCCCAAGTTATTAGTATAGGGAGCTGCCCACTTAATAGTATTTTCTGTGTCATTTTTCTTTTGACACTTCATTTACAATACTATATCATTGGCGAGATAAATCTTTGCACCTGGACATTTTCTTAGTTTTACCCTTGAATGGTCCCATCCACTGCTTGTATGCTAGTGTATGTTTGGAGGCTGTGTAGAAGAGGCCTCTGTGTTTTGTTTAATATTAGGAAAGTATCGCTTGTTTATCCTACAGGTGGGTCTTCCTGGGACAGGCAAGACTCTTCTTGCCAAGGCTGTGGCTGGGGAAGCTGAAGTGCCTTTTATAAGTTGCTCTGCTAGTGAGTTCGTAGAGTTGTATGTTGGCATGGGTGCCTCTCGCGTAAGGGATCTATTTGCACGGGCAAAAAAGGAGGCACCGTCAATAATATTCATTGACGAGGTTTGGACATGGATGTTTGCTTGTGTTATCTTGATTCTTGACCTATGTGGTTTTTCGTGGATTGGTTTTAATATTGTTTGCTTACCACAGATAGATGCTGTAGCAAAAAGTCGGGATGGAAAATTCCGTATTGTCAGCAATGATGAGCGGGAACAAACCTTGAATCAGTTGCTCACTGTAAGCTCTGTGCTACAACTTAGTTTTGAGCATTTGTAACTTTTTGCGACATTCCAGTGACATTAATTAATGCTTGAATTCTCATTGTAGGAGATGGATGGGTTTGACAGCAATTCTGCGGTTATTGTTCTTGGAGCAACTAATCGCTCAGATGTCTTAGACCCAGCACTTCGTCGACCAGGGAGATTTGATCGTGTGGTTATGGTTTGTATTTTAGTTCTAGTACCCCTCTCATTGTCAAAATGATATGAAAGAAAGTTTTAGTTGGGAATAATTTTCTTCATGTATGTATGAACGTGCATATAAATGTTATATCACATGAAATCTTTTCCCTTTTCTCGATAGGTGGAAACACCAGATAGGATGGGAAGAGAAGCGATTCTAAAAGTGCATGTTTCCAAGAAGGAACTCCCTTTGGCAAAAGATGTTTTCCTTGGTGACATTGCTTCTATGACTACTGGCTTTACTGGGTATATATACGGAGCTCACTGCTCAGTCTGTTTAGAATATGCACTGAATTATAAATAATTAAATGAATGAATAAATTGTCGTGTGTGTGACTAACACATTAGGAGTGATGTTTCTTATTATATTTTTTGCAGGGCAGATCTTGCAAATTTGGTGAATGAAGCTGCTTTATTGGCCGGAAGACAAAGCAAGGTGGTTGTGGAAAAAATTGATTTCATTCAAGCTGTGGAGAGATCAATAGCTGTAAGTCTCCCTCTCTTTCAAATATTAGTTCATCCTATTTTCCTGAAATATGATTCAAAACAGTAATAAAATTGTATTTGATTGTTTTTCAACCTTTTCTCTTTCTTTTATGTTCCCAGCTGATTCTGATGTTAGGGTTTCTTTTCATGACTTTCTTGTGCTGGTCTATATTGTGGGTGCCTTGTGGTTTTGTTTTATATTTATGCAACCCTCTTGGTCTTTACCCCGATCACCAGAAGTGCCTGTACTTGAATGCTGCTCTTATGACCAAGGAGAGCCCCATTCATTGGTTTTTTTTTGGGGGGTTCTTATGAACATGTTTCTCTTGATGTATAACTTTAGTAACACATCTTCCACCCTATTGTTGTTTTAACCACCCTGTGCATTGAGGTGTGTTTTCCGCTCAGGTGCATTGGGGTGCATACTGTTCAGTAACAACATTTTTAAAACAACAAGTTATTGTTTTCTGATTAACTAGTACATAAACTTAGCCGAATTACTTGTTATAGGGCATAGAAAAGAAGACTGCCAAGTTGCAGGGAAGTGAGAAGGCTGTAGTTGCACGGCATGAAGCTGGTCATGCAGTAGTAGGGACTGCTGTTGCAAGTCTTCTTCCTGGACAGCCACGTGTTGAGGTGAGTTCAGTACTGAAATTTGTTAATGAACAGATTAAAAAAAAGTAACTTGGAAATATTATGTGAGAAATAGGGAATAATTGAGGTCATGTTCACACAATAGCTTATTTATTAACTTCCAAATACATGGATATATCTTACCCGGAAAAAAACAAAAAGACATGGATATACTAATTATTCTGTCTTTGTGTTATCAGAAATTGAGCATATTGCCACGGTCAGGAGGGGCATTGGGCTTTACTTATACTCCTCCGACAAGTGAAGATAGATATTTACTCTTCATTGATGAGTTACGTGGACGTTTGGCTACACTTCTCGGAGGACGCGCAGCAGAAGAATTTGTATATTCAGGTCGTGTATCAACAGGTGCACTTGATGATATACGACGAGCAACTGACATGGCATACAAAGCAGTAGCTGAGTATGGTCTCAATCAAACCATTGGCCCTGTGTCTATAGCAACACTATCTGCTGGTGGAATGGATGAGTCAGGGGGAGGTGCTCCTTGGGGAAGGGATCAGGTCCTGTGTATTTTTATTTTATTCCTTATCAAATTATTTGCAGTAAATACTGATCCTAGAATGATGAAAACAGGGGCATCTTGTTGATCTTGTTCAAGGAGAGGTTAAAGCATTGCTACAATCTGCTTTGGATGTAGCCCTATCTGTCGTGCGTGCTAATCCTAGTGTTTTGGAGGGTCTTGGTGCTCATCTGGAAGGTGATTTTTTGCTGCTATGCTATTATCATATTGTTTCCTACGTTCTATAGTTTATATGATATTATGTTATAATGCTCCTGTAAGTTTGCGGTGGCCTCAAATTGGTACAAACATGCATGATACAAATTTTAACCTGGGGACATTTCTTGCAAAGAGTAGGGGTCCTGGAGATGGTTAATTTTTGGAAAATATTGCTTTAGCTTTGATAGACAAAGTCTGGTTATTGAATGAAATGAAGTCCTGTCTCTGTTTTCCAAATATTTGATCTGGGTCTTCTGGACATGTAGGCATGCTCAATTAGCTGTAAAATTTCTAAATAAGTACTTACAAGTTATAGTGAATCGTAGCTTGTATGCTGCAGGCGCTATAGATGAAAGATTTGTGGGCATAGTTTTTTTTTTAAGATATAGGATTTCCAAATTAAGTGAGCTTGTATAAATGTATTGAGCTTAGGGTGTGGAAATGCTCTTTATTTTGTATTATATAAGTAACTCTATGAAGTTGTAATGGTGTTCTGAGAGTGTTCCTTGTTCAGAAAAAGAGAAAGTAGAAGGTGAAGAGCTACAAGAGTGGCTAAAATTGGTAGTTGCACCAACTGAATTGGCAATCTTCATTAGCGGCAAGCAAGAGTCTCTCATTAGTGGCAAGCAAGAGTCTCTCATTAGTGGCAAGCAAGAGTCTCTTCTTCCATTGCAGACCGGCTCTGGTTAACAACTGTATCTTGTTACTGCTCCTCAATGTCAAGTGAAACTGTGAAATATGGAGTAGCTTACTGCTCTTTTGCCATTGTCATGTCAGTGAATTCTTCCTCTTGATTGCCAGCAGCTCCCCCTTACAACTTGTATATGTTGGGTTCATTTTTAACAAGTGCCAGTGTGCTCTTTGTTTTAACTCACAATTTACCAGCCCAAGCTGCCCATCCAAAGAGAAGGGAAAGAAGTCGGGATTATATCTGCACAAGCCTTCTCAAGTGTGTCATCAATATTAATTTCGGCACAACCGGGTTGGTATCGGAAACTGTTGTACATTGACTGTTACTTGATTACACATGATCTGCCTATCTGCAATTGTAATTGTTCTTGAGTTGTATACGATATTTATCATACGAAATATATAATATTCCTCATGAATGGGTTCAAAAGGTTCAGATGAATTGCATGTTGTATTTTTTGGAATTCCAAGGGCATCTTTCGGAGAAGTGAACCAATTGATGGTGATGATAATTGATCTTTACCACTTACCAGAATTGTAGCCGGAAAGCCACAGATTTTCAAATTTGACCAAACTAGTTTATGTTTCATACTTGAAAGACAAGATGGTTTGTCCTGGGCTGGAATTCCGCCAGTGTGAAGCTGTACTGACCCAAGGGTCGGCAGGCACAGGCAGGGGTTTTCATGGTCAGTTTTGCCCTGAAGGGTTTGTGAAAATCGATTTGAATATTGCAGGCATTGCATGGATGGTTGGTTAGGTTGTTTTTTGTTTTCGGTCAGTGTTTTTCCCTTGGTGTGCTAGTTTTGTTTATGCAGTTGGATTAGATATGAAGAACTAGAAATCTAATGTTACTTTGGGAAGCACAACGTTGTTTCAGTACCAAGACAAAAAGGCTAAAACATAGTGCCTCATGGACCAATGGTTTTTGAAATCAAGAAAACTCTCAAAAACTCTAGTTTGATCGTGACTTGATCAAAGGAAGGGTAGAAACTGTGCAACAAATTTGGAGCATCTTCCTTTCTCTTTATTTTCTGAAATCAAAATCAAATAAAGGCAATCATTGGTGTGGAGGAACGATTGATAGGTAGTGATTGCAGTGATAATATTATACCTGTATGCATTGATATTTTGGAGCCTCTAAAATATCAGCGTCCCTTTCTGAGAGCAATATAGACTTTGGTCCTTTGGGTTTGGCCAAGGAAGAAAAGGAAAAATCTTAACCTGCAAAAGAACCATGCCCCATGTGAATCTGTTTCTTTCTGTAATTCACAATGTCGTATTCATTCACTTGTAAACTTCAACTTTTCTCCACTACCAATACACTTTATGATTAGTGAAACAAATAATGCCACCGCTATTGTAAAGTTCAAAATTCAACCCACCACAGTAAAAATTATACCCTGACCATGGCCATGGAAAACTGCCAACTGGGTTCCTTCGGAGATGATCTATGAACAATAGAATGGGGTCAAAATAGAAGTAACATGAACCAATTATTTTTTTTCCTTTTTTGTGTTTTGTATATTTATTCTATAAAAGGAAAAAGCTTTATTGTCCTTCTAGTACAAGAAAAAGGGAAACATTATCAACAGTCGAGTTGTGCGTGGCATATACGATTGCCATCCATTTATACATCAATTATCAATATCTGACGGTGATTCACGCACGTAAATACAAAGGTAACGCTTATGACAACAAACATCCACTGGGTAATTTACAATTTGCCTTCCGGGGCTATCAGCTGGCCATACAATTGAATTGACCATTTCAAAACTTATTTCCTCCTCCTGATACAATTGAGAAAGATGCGCTTAAACTTTCCTATCATTGAAAGGTAATTTAGTTTTTAGATTATTATAAATAAACCAAATCCTAGATATGTATTTATAAAAAAACTCATACACTATTTAAACATAGAAACACACCCAAAATCAACAATTGTATATTTTTTTGGGTGTGTTTATAAATGGGTTTTGAGTGCGTTTATAAAGTATTTTGGGTGTTGGATTTTTTTATAATTTCAGCTACCATTTTGAGTGTTTTAGTGAAACTCCCGTTTTTAGTTTTTTGACTTTTGAGTCAAAGATGAGAGCCATATTTAGTGGACGTAGCATGGGTTTTGCTGGATGCCATATAATGGACTTCCTCCTCGACTAACTTTGTCCTTATTATTATTATGGAATCATTCCCCATTAATAATAATTCTATAAAATGTTTCTTCTATTGCCCCTTCCTAAAATTGAAAAGTAATGTTAGAATCAAGGGCAACCTTTGCTTTTCTTTTTTCTTTTTTAAATGAAGAATTTAAAAAATTACAAAACATATTCTCTAGGGATCTGAGTATTCCGTACATCATAACAAATCTTTATAAAACCAAAATTTTAAGAAATATCTTATAATATTATAAAATCAAGGGCATTCTTAACATCTTTTAAAGAAACACTATAGATGCATAGAACATGTATCAATAATTCAATATAAAGGCTAGTGGGGTATAGCCGAGTGGAAAAGAGCCTCGACATGGTCTCATGTTTGAATTTCCACGACACTTTGATAGTGTATGTGTGTGAGAAACTCTCATCTCCTTAAAATTTAAATTATTATTATTATTATTATTATGGAATCCTTCCCCATTAATAATAATTCTATAAATGTTTCTTGGATTGCCCCTTCCTAAAATTGAAAAGTAATGTTAGAATCAAGGTTTATTTTTTATGATGAATTTAAAAAAATTACAAAAATAGATTCTCAAGGGATCCGAGTATTCCTATCATTGCTTGTATTAAAAAGAAACAATCTTATAATATTATGAAAAAATATTTTCTTTTATAAAAAAAAAACCCCATAGATTCATAGAACATGTATAAAAAAAAAAAAAAAAAAAAATATAAAGAATTATAAGAAATGGCTTAATGGTGCAAACGTCTCAGCATAGGTTCATTTCATATGATATGTCAATTGTTACACAATAGATTTCACATGATATATGACAATGGAAGACAATCGGTCACGCGATGCACCTGAACTGAACCAAAGCAAAGCATCCAAATTTCTATTAGTAATTTATGAATTTTCACCCAATTAAGAAATTTACAGAAAATATCTTACTTGGGAATCATCAGGAGCCACGTAAGGATTCGCTTTTGGTCCTTTTGGAGGACCCTGAAGGCTTCGCCTTTTTTTTCACTCCCTATAAAATGCTACAACGTAATCCAAGACTCTACACTCAGAATTGTCGTAGAAATTTTCAGAAGAGAGAGAGAGAGAGAGAGTGAACAAGATAAGACTGTGAAGAAGCCTTCTTCTACCAGCCCCAGGTTCCAGGTTCGTCCTTTTATCTCTCTTCAAAACCCAACATTTCATTCTCAGTTTAATTGATAAGCCTTTTAGCTCACTTGGATTGGGTCTTAATTTTCTGTTTGTTTGGCTAGAAAGGTAAGGTGCTTGTGAAATGAGGCCAAATTGTCAAAAGTTATTTTTATAATGAATTTGGTATCTTCAAAAGCTAGATACTTTTAAGCCTTTTAGCTCACTTGGGTCTCAATTGTCTGTTTTGTTTCCTGGAAATGTAAGAACTTATGAAATGAAGCAAGATTGTTTCTGTTTCTTATGTTTTGATTTGTGGAAAGCTAGGTAATTTTATTTGCATGTGCTCATTTTCGCTTTTATTTTCTACATATGCTAAAGTCTGATGTTTTTTCCGGCTCTACTGCTTCACCTTCTGATTTGAAGTTTGGCATTGGCATTTATGTTGCATGCTTCACTTAAATTATTCCTTTTTTTTTTTTGCAGCAACTGTTTTTGTTTGGTCTTATGGCAGGTCGAGTATATATTATACTGTCTTTTTGCTTACTTTGCTTTGCTAGTATTTCTCTATCAATGTCTTGATCATGTATCATGTGTAATCATATTGTGGAGACATGAACTATGGTAAGATTGAGATGGAAATTTCATAAATAATATGTCTGTAGATTATTTTTGTTCTCCTTTTCTTATAAATTTCATATCTTGCCAAAAAATGCTTTGGGTTTGGGGACATATTGCCTTCGGATATTCATCAATTACCATGATCCTAGGATAGAAAAATGAGTTCATTTGCATGCCCCGTTTTTCTTACCCGACCTATACATAATTTCCTGTTGCACTTAACTGAATTGGCTGTAAATTATGTGTGTCTAGTTTTTAGTTGTTTGTGGATTGAATTTTAATGTTCCAATTCTTTGCTCAACTCAGAGATGGCATTGGTGCATAGTGCCCTGACATCCGTTGTGTGCAAGAATGGCAATCATTCTTCTGCCGCAAAGCTCCCGAGTACTACATTCTTGCCTGGTTTTGATGCTGTCGGGCGTATTTCAAGTCCATATAAGAAGGAAATATGCCTCAATGCCCTGAGTTCAGGTCCTAGAGCCACATTAACCTTTGATCCCCCAGCAACTAATTCAGAGAAAGCCAAACCACCAAGGCACACAGTTGATCCTGCTTCTCCTGATTTTTTGCCTCTTCCATCCTTTGAACAATGTTTTCCAAAGAGCACAAAAGAACACAGGTGTGTCTCCCTTACATTACTCATGATTTTTATCTTGAAATATAAAACTTGTTAAATCCCTTAAAACACTCACAAGGTACACTTCTGAATTGAATTGTGGTGCACTGATGCGTGATCTGCTCTGCAGAGAAGTTACTCATGAAGAAACTGGTCATGTGCTCAAAGTTCCCTTTCGACGAGTCCACTTGGCTGGCGATGAACCAGCATTTGACAACTATGATACCAGCGGTCCACAAAACATTAGCCCACGCGTTGGTATGCACAATAAGTTTATTTTAACATCTTTTTTGTTGGTAGTCTATCTTTGTTGAAGATGGTATTAATTTTCTTCTTACATATCTAACTTCAGATTTTTCTATTGTTAATTTTGTTTATATGGATACTTCCTCACCCCTCTCAACAAGGCATAAGACGTTTGATTGAAAAGATTTTTTTTTTTTAATCTTTTCTGATTCAGATATACTAATGTATGGTTTTCACATCAATGTCTTTCAAAGTTTTGTGTTTTGGGATTATTAGCATTCTTCATCCATTTTCTTGGTTGCTATTGATAAATAGGACTACCTCAACTGCGGAAAGATTGGATTGAAAGGCGAGATAAATTAGGTGGACCAAGATACACTCAGATGTACTATGCTAAGCAGGGAATTATAACTGAGGAAATGTTGTACTGTGCCACTCGGGAGAAGCTTGATCCAGAGTTTGTGAGATCAGAAGTCGCTCGTGGGAGGGCAATTATCCCTTCTAATAAGAAGCACTTGGAGCTGGAGCCAATGATTGTTGGAAGAAAGTTTCTAGTCAAAGTTAATGCAAACATTGGAAACTCTGCTGTTGCCAGCTCTATTGAAGAGGAAGTTTACAAGGTCCAGTGGGCAACTATGTGGGGTGCTGACACTGTTATGGATCTCTCTACAGGACGCCACATACATGAGACCCGTGAATGGATCCTACGTAACTCCCCTGTGCCAGTAGGGACTGTCCCCATTTATCAAGCACTTGAAAAAGTGAATGGAATTGCAGAAAATCTCAACTGGGAAGTATTCAGAGAAACTCTCATTGAACAAGCTGAGCAGGGTGTAGATTACTTCACCATCCATGCTGGGGTTCTACTACGGTACATCCCATTAACAGCAAAACGTATGACAGGAATTGTTTCACGAGGAGGATCCATTCATGCAAAATGGTGCTTAGCTTATCACAAAGAGAATTTTGCTTATGAACATTGGGATGACATACTTGACATCTGCAATCAATATGATGTAGCCCTGTCAATAGGTGATGGGCTGAGACCTGGTTCCATTTATGATGCCAATGACACTGCACAGTTTGCAGAGCTCTTAACTCAGGGAGAACTGACCCGTAGGGCATGGGAAAAGGATGTACAGGTAATGAATGAAGGACCTGGACACGTTCCAATGCACAAGATTCCTGAGAACATGAAAAAACAGCTTGAATGGTGTAATGAAGCACCTTTCTACACTCTCGGTCCTTTAACAACTGATATTGCACCTGGATATGATCACATCACCTCTGCCATTGGTGCTGCCAACATTGGTGCTCTAGGCACTGCCCTTCTCTGTTATGTAACCCCAAAAGAGCACCTTGGGTTGCCAAATAGAGATGATGTGAAGGCTGGAGTTATAGCATATAAGATTGCTGCTCATGCAGCTGATCTAGCCAAAGGTCACCCGCATGCTCAAGCCTGGGATGATGCATTGAGCAAGGCAAGATTTGAGTTCCGGTGGATGGACCAGTTTGCTTTGTCATTAGACCCTATGACTGCCATGTCCTTCCATGATGAAACACTGCCAGCTGATGGTGCCAAGGTGGCCCATTTTTGCTCCATGTGCGGTCCAAAGTTCTGTTCGATGAAGATAACAGAGGATGTGAGGAAGTATGCTGAAGAGCATGGCTATGGGAGTGCTGAGGAAGCTGTGATACGTGGAATGGATGCTATGAGTGCTGAGTTTCTTGCTGCCAAGAAAACTGTCAGTGGGGAACAACATGGTGAAATTGGAGGGGAAATTTACTTGCCAGAAAGTTATGTAAAATCCGCAGAGAGGTGAAGGTCAGTAAATGTTTTTTAATTTAATTTTCCTTATGAAAATCTGTTTTCTGATATACTTGCGTTCAAAACGTTCTGAAAATTTCTATGTGGAATACAAATAATGGTTTAACACTTGCAGTCTCTTGATTTCATAATACAAGGATAAAATTCTGCATAGTATAAAACATGATCTAATCTAATCTAGTCTTGAGCTCTATAACCAGTGCTTGAAGATAGTTAAGATGTAATTTCATGGGAAATGTCAATCAAGTCTAGAGCACATGAGCCCATCCTAGGTATGTTTAAAATTTTGAAGTAAGATGATGTCAGTATTATGGAGCATTTAGTTTACCACTGTAAAACACCCAATATCTGTACTTACACAAACATAATGACGGGGTTTTTTATTCTTACGCAGCAGCAGCATCTGATAGATAGCTATCAGAAAAAAAAGAAAAAGAAATCTTATTTTTCAGTTTGACAAAGAAAATTTACAATCTTGTGCTCCATTATCTTTCTTTAACTTCTAGATAGTCTGTATTAAGCTATTCTCATTTCTTTATTCTTTAGTTTTTACACTGGGAATATTTGCAGGATCGCATAAATAACCAGAAGCGGTTTGACAACCCTGGATGGAGGCTTTCGTCCACGATTGGCTTGTCCGCAACGGAGATCTTAGGTTTTCATTTTCATGCTATGGTATAAAACATAGTTTGGTGTGTGAAGTACATTTCAAGACTTTTGACATATCTATCCTTTACCTTTTCCTGCTTGTGCTTGTGTTTCTCCGTAATAAAATGCTTTCTGTTCATGTTACATCGAGATTCTGTTTATATTTTTGGCATTGTATTGACATAAAGGACGCACCAGGGGTGCCTGTATCTGCTCGAGCACTAGCTTTTTGGCTAGGATGCGAGCAAGCCAGGCTGAGATAGTCCCTTTGAACCTGAACAGGTTAATACCTGCGTAGGGAGTGTGCATTTCTTTTTCCTGTTTCTTCTGTGCTTGCACAGGGAGAGAGAGGGCTTTCGTCCGGGGTTCGGGCTAGCTGATAACATCGTGGCCAAGCCGATCAATTGTGGCTGGGAGTAACTGAGTGGCAATTCTGTGATACTTTCTGTGATTTAAGGGGGCTTTGCTAAACTCGAAAATAAGGCCTATAACTCCTCCATCCACTTGCTATCAAGTATATGCTGAACCTCATTCTTTTGTTTTTTCTTGTCTAGTTCCTCAAAACTCAGTTTTAAATTTGAAAGAAAGCTATTACCAGCTTGAAATTCGTCCTTGCACGACAGTAAGTTCAAAAACGTGCACAAATCTCGTTAATTTTGATTAAAGAAATGCAAGATATGGCAGGAAGATGTAATAAAAATGGTAGAAATATAGATTAAACATCCACCATTTACAAGCTTGGTTTAAGATCATAATCTATGATACACCATTCACCATTTGACGAGTATCAACATAGACAGTGGAAGCAAACAAAGTTGT